TCCTGAGTCTGTCATCAGCTTCCTGTACCTGTAATCAGCTTCCTGTCCCTGTCCTCAGCTTCCTATCTGTCTCTGTCATCAGCTTCCTGTACTTGTCCTCAGCTTCCTATCTGTCTCTGTCATCAGCTTCATGTCTCTGCCTTCAGCTTCCTGTACCTGTAATCAGCTTCCTGTCTCTGTCCTCAGCTTCCTGTCTCTGTCATCAGTTTCCGGTCTCTGCCTTCAGCTTCCTGACCCTGTCATCCGTTTCCTGTTTCTGTAATCAGCTTCCTGTCCTTGTCATCAGCTTCCTGTCTCTGTCCTCAGCTTCCTGTCTGTCTTTGTCCTCAGCTTCCTGTCTGTCTTTGTCCTCAGCTTCCTGTGTCTGACAGAAAGGAACCAGCAGCTGTAATTCTTCATGAACCTGAAGGTTCTGATCCTTCTCGTTTTCTCTCTGCAGAGGCTGAAGACGGCCCGACGGGTCGTCGAGCCGAACCTCGGCTTCTTATCTCAGCTGCAGAGGTACGAGCACGAGTTGAAGAGGAGCCGAGGACCGTCCTGATCCTGGACCAGAGACCCAGCTCTGAAAGACCACGCGCGAGACCAGAACCAGCAGGAGCAGAAATGGACAAAACAAGGACGACAGAATTTATTTTTTTCTTACTGAACGTATTTTAATAAGATGAAGAAAATAAAAAAAAAATGTATTCAATTAAATCAAAATGATTAAAAATCCTAAAATGTAAAAAAAAAATATTTTATAAACCAGAGGTCTAATAATAAAAAGTGTTATTTTTTTTATATATTTTAGGTCACTAATAAAACCAAACCACGAGAAACCAAAACTATTCAAGAGATTTGAACTCTGTTAAAAACTTATTTATTTATTTTGGTAAAAGTTTGATGTTTCTATTGAAAGGCAGAAATAAATAAATAAATAAAAAATCTAGAAAAGTTTTGTCATATTTTTATCACATTCTGAAGATTTTACTAAATCAGCTGATAATTTAAAACTAATTCTCATCTGTCTGTAATCCACCGATTTAGAACCATAAACTGATAAAATAATAAATTGTTGCAAACTCATCTTTATGTTCAAACATATAAACTTTACTTGAAGTGATAAAATGTTAAACTTTTGCATTTATTGATCAGGTTTTACTTGATAAAACGTTTAATTTTTGTTTTGATCAGATTGGTTCTAGTTCTCAGTCCTGTCTGTAGAGGGCGCTGTTTACTCATCACAGGACTCACTGCAGATTATTTATAATCCCTGCTTTAATCTTTTATATTATAAATAAAAAAATAAGCACAATTTAATTAAACGTTCCTGGATAATCCACAGAGATCAGGTCTTTAAAACCTTTTATTTCCTGGACTAAAGTAGCAGCACGACGGCTCAGTGGTTATCACTGTTGCCTCACAGCAAAAAGGTTGTGGGTTCAATCCCCGGTTGGATCTGGGGTCTTTCTGTGTGAAGTCTACATGTTCTCTCCGTGCTGAGTGGGTTTTCTCTGGGTACCCCGGTTTCCTCCCACAGACCAAAAACGTGCACGTTACTCTGCCTTCAGGTCCAGGACTGCACCTGATGTCCACACGATGCTGCAAAGGCATGTCAACGAAGATGGCCCACAACATCCAGAGCCTTAAGGAAATCAGGGCAAATCTCATCCACCCCTGGAGACCATCCAGCGTGCAGCTTTATAACTACCTCGGCGACCTCAACCACAGTTATGGACAGACCAACCCGTAAGTCTCCTGACTCCGCTTCCTCCATGGAAGACATGCTGGTGGGATTGAGAAGGTCCGAGAAATATTCCTTCCACCTCCCAATGACATCACTGGTTGAGGTCAACAGCACCCCACCTTCACTGAACACAGTGTTGGTAAAGAGCTGCTTTCCCCTCTTCAGCTGCTTGATGGTTTGCCAGAATCTCCTCGGAGCCAACCATATGTCATTATCCAAGACCTCACCAAACTCCTCCCACATCTGAGCTTTTGCCTCAGCAACAGCCAAGGCTGTGGACTACTTGGCCCTCCAGTACTTCTCAGCTGCCTCCGGAGTCCCACCAGTCAACAAGGACTGATAGGACTCCTTCTTCAGCTTGACAGCCTCCCCAACCTGGGGTATCCACCACCGAGTTCGAGGATGGCCACTGTGAGAAGCACAGACAACCTTACAGCCACAGCTCAAGGTAGCCACTTCAACAACTGAGTCGAGGAACATGGTCTACTCTTCCTCAATGTCCCCGTCTCAGTTGGAATGTGGTTAAAGCCCTTCCAGAGGTGTGAGTTGAAGATCTTTCTGACAGGTTCTTCTGCCAGGTGTTCCCAGCGAACCCTCACTACACATTTGGGTCTACCAGGTCTGTCCGGCATCTTCCCCTGACATCTGATCCAACTCACTACCAGGTGGTGATCAGTTGACACCTCAGCTCCTCTTTTCACCTGAGTGTCCAAAACTAATGGCTTCAAATCAGATGACACGACTACAAAGTTAATCATCGATCTATAAAGTATGACCTAGGGCATCCTGATGCCAAGTGCACTTATGGACAGCCTTATGTTGGAACATGGTGTTTGTGATGGACAAACTATGACTAGCACAGAAGTCCAACAAGGGAACACCGCTCAAATTCAGATCAGAGAGGCTGTTCCTCCCAATCACACCCCTCCAGGTCACACTGTCATTACTCACGTGGGCTTTGATGTCCCCAAGCAGAATAAAGGAGTCCCCAGCTGGTGCACCTTCCAGTAACCCCCCAAGGACTCCAAGAAGATTGGATAATCTGAACTGCTATTCAGCACATAGGCACAAACAACTGTCCGAGCCCATCCCTCCACCTGAAGGTGCAGGGAAGCTACCATCTCATCTACCGGAGAAAACTCCAACACAAAGGCACCAAGTCGGTGGGCTAAGAGTAGACCCACACCAGCTCGTGCCTCTCACCATGGGCAACTCCAGAGTAGAATAAGGTCCAGCCCCTCTCAAGGAGATTGGTTCCAGAACCCATACTGTGCGTCGAGGTGAGCCCAACTATATCTAATTCAGTACCTATCAACCTCATGCACAATCTCAGGCTCCTTCTCTATCAGAGAGGTCACATTCCATGTCCCCAGAACCAACTTTGGTAAGCCAGGGTCAGAGTGCCAAAGTCCCCAACTTTGACCACTGCCCATGGATTCATGCACCCGACACATATGGCCCCTCCTGCAAGTGGTGGGCTCACAGGAAGGCAAACCCATTCTGCTCATTCAGACTGAGCCCGACCGGGCCCCATGGGTAGAGACCCGATCACCAGTCGATCGCTGACAAGACCCTCCCCCAGGCCTGGCTCCAGGGTGGGGCCGCAGTAACTTACGTCCAGGCAAGGGAAACTGAGTTCCTTGTTTTCTTTGTCCATACAAGTCTTCTGAATCACTTTTTGTCTGGCCTGTCACCTAGAACCAATCTGCTTGGGAGACCCTACTAGGCTGTATTAAAATAAAACAGCCAGAAGCTTTTTCAGAGTAAATCCATTTATTTGTGAAGCTGTGAGACATCTCTGAAGCTGTGGGGGTGTCAGTGGGTTTGACTGAGTGGACAGGACCATCTGTTCGGTGTTATTGTGGACGATGTCTCGTGTCCCATTCCTCTTGGACCTGGTGGATCCACTGATTGTAGTTGGACACCTTGGTGTAGATGCCCAGCTTGTCCTTCAGGCCGCAGCCCTCGCCCCACGACACCAGGCCAATCAGGAACCAGGTGTTCCGGTACAGGGTGACCATCGGGCCACCACTGTCCCCCTCACAGGCATCCACGCTCTGGCCCAGGATCCCGGCACACAGGACGTTTTCAGACAGCTGGTGGGGGAACATCTGCTGGCCACAGACGCTACGGTTGACTAGTGGGATCTTGATGACATTCAGCGCCGAGCTGTACTTCCCGCTGTCCTGCTTGCCCCAGCCCGTCACCACGGTGATGGTGCCATTTCGGTGGAGCACCCGCTTGGCCATGGCGCTCCCTGGCAAGCAGACAGGCAGGATGTATATAGACGATGGGGCAGGCGTCTGCAGGCGGAGCAGGGCAATGTCGTTGTCCACCGTCCGGCTGTTGTAGCTGGGGTGTTTGAAGGCCCGGGCGACCTGGAGAGTCACCTCCGTTCCTTCGTCCTTCAAACGCTCGTAGTCACCTAAGAACACGAATCAGGACCCGATCATCAGTCAGTTTTTTTTTTATCAACACGTGAACTTTTTCTGTTTCTGTTTGAGAGCTCACCCAGTCTGACGCTGAACTTGTGGTGGCCTTCGAGGCAGTGAGCTGCCGTCAGGACCCAGCTCTTACTGATGAGGACGCCGCCGCAGTGAAACCTCCCTCTGGCATTAAAAACAAGAACCTGAGTGCACAAACATCACGAGTTAGCTGCAGTGTTCTACAGAGCCAACAGTTTATGAGCACCACAATGCACTGTGACAAGGAGCAGAGCAGGACCAGCGGCTGAACACTGAAAGACATGGGTGAACTTTGCTGAATGAGCTAAAACTGAATTGTTAAAGCTAAAGGAAGTAGAACACTAGATAATGTAGAAACAAGCATGCTAATAGCTAAATGTAAGAATGAGCACGCTAACAGCTAAATGTAATAACAAGCACACTAAAAGCTAATTCTAGCAATGAGCATGCTAAATGCTAATTGTAGCAATAAGCATGCTAAAAGCTAAATGTAAGAATGAGCATGCTAAAAGCTAAATTTAAGAACGAGCAAACTAACAGCTAAATGTAAGAACGATCACGCTAACAGCTAAATGTAAGAACGAGCAAGCTAACAGCTAAATGTAAGAACGATCACGCTAACAGCTAAATATAAGAACGAGCACGCCTAAATGTAAGAACGAGCACGCTAACAGCTAAATGTAAGAACGAGCACGCTAACAGCTAAATTTAAGA